AGTGAGGGGGAGAGTAGGGAGAGTGAGTGGGGAGAGAGAATGAGTGAGAGGGGAGACAGTGGGGAGAGAGAGAGTGAGTGGGGAGAGGAGAGGAAGAGAGAGAGTGGGAGAAAGAGTGAGTGGGCAGAGAGGGGAGAGAGTGAGTAGGGAAGAGAGTGAGTAGGGGAGAGGGTGAGAGAGAGAGAGTGATTGGGAAAGAGGGGGAGATTGGGGGAGAGATAGTGTGTGGAGGGCGTGGGGGACAGAGGGTCAGAGAAAGGGGGCAGAGAGTGGGAATGGTGAGGGAAAGTGAGGGAGAGAATGAGAGGCAATGGTGAGAGGTATAGAGAGAGGGGAGAGAGAAGGAATGATGACAAAGGAAAGAGGAAAAACGATGACTTGTGTCAATTCTTAGTATAATAAATACCTCTTTCATTTTTTATGTAAAAAGCTACATTTTGTGAAGGCTTTGTTGACACTAGCAAACGACAACAGAAATTGGTAAAGATTTAGAACTAATCACATTTTCTGCCCCTGATATCGAAGGTTAGAGGCATATTGATTCAGTTCTGTGTGATATTTTTTCTCATTTTTTTAAAATTAATATCAATTGTCACATACCGTGCTACCTCGGTTTATAGCCCTCCGTTATATTGCCACCCTCGCTTATTGCCAAGAATTCTCGAAGAACGGATTTCCCCCTGTGTTAATACGCCCGTTATATTGCCACCCCCGCTTATTGCCACCCGCCACTGGTTTTGGGAAACAAAGGGTCAAATTATATATTTATGAAAACCCTCGATAACAATGCCAATTATCTAGAGTCGGGTCGGTAAGTTGGACAACACACACGTGCTTTGACAGTGGTTGCTATGAAGCGTAGCGGGCTGGACAAGGATTTACTCTAATTTAAAATTAAAAATAATTGGTGAATAAAGCTCAAAATTAGCAATGTCTTTGGGGTGTTTTTATAAGATAGAAGAATTATTTCATCACAATAATGAAAACATCAGGCAAGAGAAAGCGTACAAATTTGGATTACGAGAAAAAAATTGATTGATTAACATTCTATCTATTTGATTGTAAATCGCCGATTATTGTGTATCATGGATAATGCACCAAAACATAATAAATGTAAATATTCATTTGAACAGTTTTTTGCATTCACAAACAAAAAAAACAAAAAAACAAAAACAAAAACAAAAACAAAACAAACAAACAAACCCCTGAAATTTTCATAAATTGTTGGGCACATATTGGGTTGATGGATAAATATCAAAAAAGAATCGGAAGAGAAGTACACAGGTACCAGCAAACATAAGAATGCATGGTTGACGTAGTCTGACAAGTGACTTGGCATTCGTCAGTCATGACACTTTACCTACCGAACTTTTTAACTGTATCAGAAATTCTTGAGACGGTGAAAAAAAATCTATTATCGATTCAGATGAGATTAATAATAATTCTCAAAAACTTTTTAATACCGAGGCTATAACAGCTATTGACATCTTTGTCATCGGGTTATCAAATTCTTAGAGCATGGCGAAAGAACAGGGAATCGATAAGTGTTCAATATTCTGACATTTTATTTCTTTTCAGTAAAAATATTGTAAGCCCAAAAATATAATGACTTATTTTTCAAAAAGAAATGATAGCTGCCCTTATACATATTGCACAAGCATGACATTAACAGACTGTAACTGAAATAAATTACGTAAAGTATTTATTTTTGTTTTGATTACCCACTGAATTGTAATTTATGGCAGAATTCGTTATATTGCCACCCTCGCTTTAATGCCAAAATCTGTCTTGGACATAGGCTGGCAATATACAGAGCTAGCACTGTACATGTTTATAATATGGAATAACAACAATATATCATTAATGAACCTAATAAACAATACAAAAAATTATAATAGGACAATTGAGAGAGGGAGAGAGAGAGAAAGAAAGAGAAAGAAGGGATAGAAAAATGTGAAAGAGGGAGAAAAGAGCATGATAATAGAGAAATGTCTGTTAATTAAAGTACTGGTAAGAGTATGTCCAAGAATTGCAAAATGTCTTTGAGTGCCTGGTTTCAGGGTTTTACACAGTGAAAGTTGCGGGACCTTCGGATGAGACCTTAAAAACCGAGGCCCCGTGTCACGGTAGGCGTTGGCACGATAAAGATCCCTCACTGCTCAATGGCCCTGAGTGCCGAGTAAAGGTCTAAATTTGAAGCCTTTGATCGGTATATGGTGACGTCTCTATATGAGTGGAAAAATCTTGAATGGGACGTTAAACAACAATTAATCAATCAGTCAATAACATTGTTGACTGTTTCAATATATTTAATATCTTGAAGAAGTGAGTAATTATATTTCCACAAACCTTTCCCACGTGACAGCTTATTTAATTTAATCTTTAGATATACAGCTCCGCGCACTTTTTAAGCTCGCGTGGTTTTTCGCACAAATTAAGGTCACATTCTTCTTGTACTAAAAATTAACATTATCGAACTTCAGTACGACGACATAGCCCTTAGTTGTATTACATATATAATGTCAAGGGTAAATGTCCTTTAAAATTATTATCGTAAGTTTTCAAAGTGGCTGCTTTAAAGGGGAATTTATCAGTAAATGGTACGATATAACAACTATATGATTCTACGATAGGTATTTACAAGTTGAGTAAAACGTGCTTTCTTTGATAGCATTTAGTTGAAATTTGTAAATTACCTTCTTAAAGGTAAGTATTTTTCTAAATACTTTGCTCATTTACCATACTCGTCTTGGTATTGTTGAAATGTACAGGCGAAAAGGGACAACTCTGCAGAAAGAAACCATGCCAGTAGGTAGGATAATGAAGTATTGGTTTACATTTACGGTTTGAAACTTTAAAAATTTGCAGTGGGAAGGATCTTTCATGATTCTAGATTTTAGAAAGTTACTCATCTTGCGCTATATCATCTTGCGCTATAGAGTCAGAATGTACAGAAAAATACAAGTTAAGGGAGTTGTACTCTGCCTGTGTCTAGCTACTGCTTTTAAAAGAACGGAAAAAACGACGGCTGCCATTGGCAAGAAACCATAAAAAATCATTTGGGAATAATTGTAATTTATCAGACAAGAGTAAATCGAAGTCCTTCCAGTTATGATGTGTGAATTATGTTTTTAAAACGTGAAATAAAATTAAAATAATGTAAACAATCACTTTTAGAATATATTTTGTTGCCTCGATACACAATATCGCCTTATAACAATGTGACGTTAATTTGTACGAAAAACCATGTGAGCTTAAAAAGTGCGCGGAGCTGTATTGGTGTGTTTTAAAATTTTACTTTCTTCAACACTATCTATATAAATAAGAATTTGGCATAATAGAAAATCAAAGATTTGTACGGGATCGAATTTTCTTAACAATCGCCCTTTTTTAAAGCAAATTTATTTGAGAAAAGTTATAAAACGTTAACATTTCTTATAACTTATGAAGAAGAAAGAAGACTTTATTTTATTTTTTTTTTTGCAACTTTAAGCGATTAAAACTGTGGAAACTGTGAAAAATTATATTATTAATAAAATGTGATAAAACAAATCAAAGAAAGAGCGTATTCTTTTTTTAATAGTCAAAGAACATCATTAAAGCCTTGTAATGTTTTCCTTTAATGGGGTACAAACCACCTTGTATTATTTATGTAAAGTATAGTATAACCTTTTAATTTTGTTATTTTTATTTAAAAACCTTAAAGCTTTTAGAAATGAACACTTCATATCATAAGGCTGTGTGATATTAATGACCCTATGCGTTTGCCTAACAAGAATTTTCCTTCCAAAACCATGCAGTTTTTTTTTTGTATCAAAAATAACACAGGGTCATTATTCTACGATGTCATTTTTCTACAATCCACGCGGAGAAAAATGACCCAAAGGCCATAATTTCCACGAAAACGTGGGTCAATTTTCTACGTAGAATATTGACCAAGGGGTCAAATATCTACGTAGAAAATGATCCCCGGTCAATATTCTACGAGGGTCACTTTTCGTCGTTACACCAGCTATAGTCAACCTGTTCAAGCAGGATGTTGACCCTACAGACGCCAAATTAAAGTTACGTGTAAAAATGTAGTACTTACTCTCAACCGGTTTTGAGATAATACAGACGCTAAATAAAACAACAAAAATAAAACGAATTTTTATCTATACAAATTAACTTAAATAGTTATGACTTTCAAAATTTCAGTCTTAAGTCAAATAGCTTAATTCATATGCGTAAGGTTTTTTGACGGTTAAATAATCTGGTACCCTTCCCACAATTCCGTTTGCGGACTCTCTACATTGAGAGTGTGCAAACGGAATTGCGGGAAGGGTAGCAGACTAGTTCAAAAAATGTTGTCGTAGCCAGGGGCCCATTTTACAAAAGAACTTAATTACGACTAAAACCAAAAACTTTAGCTGATTGTAAAAATTTGCAAAATTAATGATTCTATGGAAAATTGCTAGTGTAAAAGTATCTTACAACATTCCTTTGAAAAAGATTAAATTAAACCATTTTCAATATAATTTTGATTAGAAAGTTATATGCAGAATTGAATTTTGGTCTTGTTCATAAGGTCCCTTGTAAAACGGGAACCTGGTTCTCGACAAAGGACAGGAAACCAGGCTGATCTGCCAGGTTAACTCTAACCTTGGTAAATTCGGACCGTGGTATTAGTTCATAAAATAAATTTGGCATTAAGACCGTGGTATTAGGTCCCAAAATAAATTTGGTATATCATTAATTTTACATTTATATTGATTTTTTTACAATAAATTTTTCATACGATTTTTCAATTTTTTTTTCAAATATGATATCACTGAAGCCCTTATTTTTATTAGTAACAATATTATTTTTTTAATTCAGCCCGACTTACAGTACTCTGAGTACTTTGATTTTTTTCTGCCAACGTGGTCTGAACGAAGCACGTGACATTCGCTACCCAATAGAGAGCGAATATTCCACGCCCAATGAAACGCACTATTTCAGTCAGATGCCAAGTAAAGTCCGATGACCTGACAAATCTCTACAATTATCAGCAGTCTTCGTATCAATCGCGTACATCAAATTCTACTCCTTCAGTTACCCTAAAATCTAACACCTTATCCTTGCGGCCATTTGCAACAATTATAAAAGCAGTCGACACCTTTTAGGGTTGTGTTTGCAGAGAATACCTGAACCTAAAAACGTCAAAATGCTGAAGTTCCTACTGGCAGTCGTGTTTTGCACGCACTTTGTATGTGCCATGCCCAAAGAAGAAGAAATGGTCTTTAGAGAACTGCTGAATGACCTGGTCGAAAAAGAGGTAAAGTTTAAATTGAACATGTACTAGAATTACTATTCATTTCATAAAGTTTGGTCAAGGAAAAAGTATGATAATGCGTAAGTGTAAAACTCAAGAGAATCCACTTTTTGACGGTACATTTATATTACCTCCGAATTTTCAAGAAATAGGAATTTACATGTGTCATTGTATGATTGCTCAAGAATGTCTGCAAAGATCCGTTAATTCTGAGTTTATCTATTTTTTTTTTTAATGCGTGCCAATGTTATTGTTCGTGCAGCAAGCGTGGGTTGAACTCGCATGCAGTTTTGCTTTCCTCGCGAGTGACAATGAACTATACAGTTACAGGTATACACAATACTTAACGAAGCATTTCTAAAACAACTTTCACCGAATCGCAGCTTTGTCGCAGATGGTTCTTGCTTCTGTACAAATAAAATAAAAGATTATGAAAATTTTACATAGTGAACACAATTCAACAGGTTTAGCACAGTTTCTTTCTCGCATTTCTTGTGCACTTTTTACTAAAATGCAATGGTTTGTTACCTTTCTTGAAAAACAACAACAAAAGCCTTGAATATGGGAATGTTTTTATTACTGAAAAGAGGAATAATTCTGTTTTATAGTAATACTTCCTCGAAAAAGGAACTGTGCCCAACCTGTTCAAAGGTTTACCAGTTCAAAACTTATAGTTCTTTAAAACAAATGTACACGTACTCTGTTTAGAAAAGGCACGTCCTTTCAGTATTCGTCAACATTTTTTTATCTTCCCTACTTAATGTTCTTTCTTGAATTACATGTACTTTTGTCTAATATGCATAAAGTAAAGGATTATCATCTTTCATATTTTTTCATTCACTTTCAAAAAAAAAGATACATCCATAGAGATATAAACAGAAAAAAAGAAAGAAAAGTGAAATATATATAAGCATTGTATTTAGGCATAAATTTTAATAATTTTAACACATTCAAAAAAAAATTAATATAAAAATAATACAACCTCATTGCAATAGAAAGACAAAATCATTATTGAAAAACCATTTACAGCACTTATATTTTTTTTTTCAGAAAGTAGGCAGGTCAAATGGTGGCGAGATGACCGATGAAGAAACGCATCCGCCATCGGAAGACAAGCGAGAGATCGTGAAAAGGTCCGCTCTGACGGATTCCGAGAAGCAGGAGTACGTGGACGCCCACAATGAGTTCCGAAGGCAGACCACGCCCACTGCAGGAAACATCAGATATATGGTAAACTTTCAAATATAAGTTTTTTGGAAGTTTAAAAACCCTCCTTTTTCTGCCCCCCCCCCTTTCCCCTTCTGAAAAGAAATGTATAGGCTACATATGTTAAAGTTATGTTGATGTACATGTAAACCAAAAAAATGAATAGTTAAAGCTAAAAAGTAACTCATACATCCTGCATGGCACACGCGTTTGCTTCTTTACTATATCATCAGGGAATAATTCGCGTTTCATGGAAAATTATTGCTGAAAGCTTTCAATATTACTATTATACTTTTTTTTGTCAATGTACATGTATCTGATAGATGAAAAGACTCCAATGAATATAATCTATAGGCGGGGAAGGGGGGATGTTATTTCATAAAATCATCTATATTGAAAAGTATGTCACGCATGCGCTTTATCTTTCGTAGAAATGGAGCGATGAATTAGCCACTGTAGCCGCAAATTATGCCGCCAAGTGTAAGTGGGCCCACAATGGCGCAAGAACGTCGTCTCAAAGGACCTTCAATTATGTCGGAGAGAACAAGTACATTAACTCGGGTAGGAAAAAATTCTAAAAAATTATATGTATAATGATTTAATTCTTTTTTGGGAGGGGGGGGGGGAGGATATTGACATACATGTACTGTATAAGTTCTTAACTTCTAAATTTATTCTTTTTCCCTAATGAACACATCTACATGCAGTAAGTGCATTTTTCTATGCAAATTCACTTTTTATTTGTTATTTTATGGAAACGTCATCTTATCTGCTTTCTTCAGTTATATTATTTTTATTTTTTAAGTCTTTTTGCACTTGGCGACTGACTTTTTTAAAACCTTCTGAGGGTTTTTAGGCTTAAACCATCTAAACTATGACAATTACACTATAATAAAACTTCCAAGTGTATATAAATAATTTTAAGATGCATTTTTGTTGCTTCAATTGTAATCAGAACGGAAAATAGATAGAATTGACTGACCACATATAGCAGTTGATTTTTTCCTTCGTTCTATAGCTAAGAAAAATATTCATAGATCGGTGGAGTATTGGTGGCTAGAGAATAGCAAGTATGATTATGATACACAGACTTGTAGCTCTGGAATCTGTACTCACTACACACAGGTAAAACAGTCTTCTTTTTAATCAGTTTTCCATCCTGTTTTGCACCCCCCCCCCCTCCCCAAAACGTATGTAGTATGGAAAAAAGGAATGAGTTAACACACATTGAAAATTCATAAATAATTATATAACAGGGGCACAGCAAGGCGGAGCATCCCCTCGCAAGGAGCACATCTATAAAATAAATCAAGACGGCATTGGGCATCGATCCCGATGCAAATTACGTCACTTCCGTTTTGCATATCATTAACTCACTCACCCACAATTAACCCTCCACACACGATTGCGTTATTATAACCCCTCCAACTCCGTTCGAAGGGGATAATGATGTAAATTAGTACACGTACACATCTCCGTGGTGGCACAAATGATCTGTACATGCATGTAGCTATATAGAAATTTGAATTTTTTAAGGACGCCGTAATAGTCATAAAATAGTAATAAAAAAGAAGTATACGTTGACTTATACATGTCGAGTGGAGGGTCGATATAGGGGAAATAGCTTGCAATTAAATCTCTACCATAGGCATAAAATAACGCTCGGAAATATTTTAAAAAGTCAAGGATTGTCTTATACCTTGATACCTGGAATTGTCTTATACCTTGATACCTGGAATTGACAATATTTCGTTATTAAGTATATTTGGCCTGAGACTCTCTTATGAACTTAAGCTTTTATACATTGTATGTATTAATTTATGACAAGAAATGTGAATAAAAACAAATAATACGTTTTTATTTATTATTTTGTATGTTTAATAATTGTTTTGTTTTTTTTTTCAATCAGAAAATACCTTTAAGCTATTGACTTAGGGTACCTGTAAAATGCGAAACGAAATAGAAACGAAACGAAACGGAACGAAATGAAACGAGACGAAATCTACCGAAACGAAACGAAATCTTACGAAACGAAACGAAACCTACCGAAACGAAACAAATCAAAATGAAACTTACCGAAACGAAATCAAAACGAAACCTACCGAAACGAAACGAAAACTACAGAAACAAAAAATGAAATAAAATCGAGCAAAATGAAATATATATATAAACATTATGATTTAAAATATATTATATAGTAAATATTTTAGAAATAACGAGTCTCTTTTGATTCGCAGTGAAAGATAAAAAAGATTTTTTGTGCGTTTCTAAACGTGCGCATTTGTAAGTATGGATTACACTTTTAAATAGATATTGCTCATTTTAGTGCAAAACAAATATATTAGACTGAGCCTAATAGATACATATAACCCAAGTTATCACTTTCGGGTTCTTGTTAGTACAATCCATTTGTATGTATACTTGTATACTCAAAATCAGATTTTAGGACCTGGCAATTCTTGGTCTGCTTTTGTCCAACACCAACCTATATCAGATCACGCACTTTCATAAACAGTAAATTAAAAGCGGAGGATAAGCAATTTTTAAAAAAAATAATACGGTAAAATTGCAACATCCAATTTAAATTCAAAGCATACATTTATTGAAATTAAAATTCAATTTTTATCAAATCATTTGAACAATAAAATACCAATAGAAAGGCTCAGTGATAAGACTTTCAGATGACCGAGCTACATGTATCGCATAATTTCACATCTCTCTCTTTCTCTCTCTCTCTCTCATTCTTGACTACTAATTATTATAATTTCTATGTAAATGAATAAGAGCTATCGACCAACTTCTTTTATTCAAAACCATTTCACCAAAAATGACGTTTTGCAAATAAAAATAAGCATGTTGCCACTTTTTTTTTCTCCCAAATACACGTACTCCCGTTGCCAATATTTTTTACAACGTGGTTTGGGGGTACCTGTAAAATTTTATTTTTAATTTTATATAATAAACCAACGAAAACATTAGCCTTGAAACCACCAGAGGAAGGGGGCGTCCTTTTCGAAACTACCTCTCAAAAAAAAAAAATAAAATAAAAATAAAAATAAAAATAAAAAAATAATAATAAAGCTGAACCCGACAATAATCAAAAGTATAATAATAATTAGGCTTTGTATAATTGATCACATATGTATAAATAACAGTAATGCACTTTTTTTTCATTTAACTCAATGTGTACAGTTTTTTTTTTAAAGTTATGTTTAAAGACATTCGCAAAACAACAGTACAGTAACTTTATTTCGATCCGTAAATAAACAAGCTTTTACATGTAGCACATCAATTATGACAAATTCATTGTATTTCGATGGTTAAAGGCTAAAAATAAAAGTAAGACATAAAAATTAGAGAATACTACGCTTATTTTGAAATTATATAGTATGCTCGCGCATATTTGTAGCTGGCAGTTGATTAACAGTATTATAATATATATGCATCGCAGCATGTATAGGTAAATACATCAATAGAGAAGGGAGCATTTATCGGTGTTTAAATTTTATATCAACAAGTGCTTGAACTATATAAATTTTATGTGAAGTAAAATAGTCCATATGCAGTTACACATTATATATAATGATATACCTTGATTTGAAAAACATTCTGTTTCGTTTCGTTTCGGTAGGTTTCATTTTGAGTTCGTTTCATTTTGTTTCGTTTCGGTAGGTTTCGTTTCGTTTCGGTAGATTTCGTTTCATTTCGTTTCGTTTCGTTTCTATTTCGTTTCGCACTTTACAGGTACCCATTGACTTAATAGGAAAAATATCAAGATTTTGGCGGAAAATTTAAGTAGTTTAAGTCACAAGTTAGTTAGGACCCCCACCCCCAGCTTTTTTCGATCCAGTTCGCCTCCCCAATATGTCAAATACTTGCCGATGCCCCGGTAACGTACGTTGTCTATATTACATGATACATGTATTACGTGTAAATCGACAAACACGGGTTGGAGGGAGGGTCCTTTTCAATTACAGCCATTGCTCGTGTTATTGTTTTTACACTGTGAAAAACTACACCTTTCATAATTAATATGAGCAAATGTTAGGAACTACAGAAAAGTCACAGGCCAGATTTCGCTAATATCAGTTCTACTTTTAAAAGGTAAAAAAAAAAAAAATTGGAACTTTTACAGGTTGTCTGGCATAACTCAGAGTACGTGGGCTGCGCTGTTCAGTTTTGTTCCTCCATGAATGGCCTAAGTGGTTGGAATAACGTATACTTCCATGTCTGCAACTATGGGGAAGGGTAAGTGCGCATGCGCATATTCTTTACAGGCCAACCAAAAATTACATCAAATTTTCATAATGTTTTTACAGAATAAGAAAACAAAATACACTGTAAATGCAAATCCTGAAAATAACGACGAAAAAAAAAAAAAGATAATTTTTTTAATACTAGGAAGACTTTTGAACGACCTCTCATTCATAAAATTTACATGATTTGTAGACTGAAATTCATTTCTTATAAACACACTGCTATAGATTTTAATGTGAAAAATAAAAAAAAATCAATTTCGATTTCCGCTGAAAAAATTAAGAGACCCTAATAATAAATATATGTCAGAATTAAAATTGAATGCGCCTTAAAAATCCCCTGCAGAAGTTAATATTTTCCCCATTTAGTTACTGAGGTTTCTTTTTTTTTTTCGCAGAGGAAATTATGTAGGACAAGACCCGTACTCTAAAGGAAGCAGCTGTTCCGTATGTACAGATGACTGCTGCAAGGAGGATTTGTGTGTCCCGATCCGTTAAATATCGATCGAACAGTTCTTCTCATGGGGAAAAAGGCCATGAATTCTTAGAATTTAGAGTTTTAAACCAACCTGGTTAATTTGTTATAAAAATTGGAAGTTTCTACACCAAGCTAATCCTTCTCCATTCATGTGTGACAATTTTTTTTTGTTTGTTTTTTGTTTTGTTTGTTTTTTTTTCTTTTTAATTTATGAACTTTTTACATGTAAGATATAGACAGTTGTCTGGTGTAATTCTGCGATTTGAAAAGAAGAAAAACAAAATTACTATAAAATAAAATTACATGTAGAAGCAGAGAATATTCTTTTGGGTTGATTTTTTATTTAAATTTAGCAAATTTGAAGAAAGGATATTCAATGGGTTTTGATGAGAAGTTAGATTACAAATTTGATTTCATCAGTCAAAAGCTAGAATCGAATGGTTTGTGCATTTTTAACTAAAACAAAATTGTAAAAATTACTCAAGGTGTTCCAATGCCAGAAAAAAAAACTGAATTCAGTCAATAGCGAATTTCTTCACTAGACCATCATCTGATGTGGGTCCATAATACATCTTTATTATTTGCATAATTACATGTATGCCGCATATAAATCACCTCTCCCTTCTAACATGTACATTAATTAATTCGGTTAACATAATTTTCATTTTAATAGTTCTTGTTTAAAAAAAAATAATTTTTGAGTGATAATAGGTATTCTTTGTAGAATCGGTTTTTTTTTTTCATAAAAATTTCTCAAAATTAAAATTGCCGCACATGTACATGGGACAAGGCATATTCAGTCTATAGATTAGATAGAGCGGTAGCGAAATTTGTAAGAAACTGGGTACTTAATTCATTTCTGAGTGAGAAAATTAAATTAAGTTTGTGGATGGATGTTTCAGTTGGTATGCAAAGTTAAATTATTTTTTTTATCTAAGCAGTTATAGGACAATTTCCATTGAAATTTATAGCATTTTTCTGATTTAAAAATACAAAGTTTTTCATTCAGACATATTTTATGTACAATATAAAAAAAATAATAATAACAATTTAGGCCAAATTTGAAATAAAGTTTGTTTGCCCTCTCCCGACTCAAGATGAAAATTGGGTCGGTAGGCAGATGATTTTTTTCACAGAAAATTTTCAAATCAAATAATGCTGAATCTTTAAAATCTATGTTCCGGAATGAATAAAAAAATAATCGTTTCCTGGAGGTTAAAAAAGTTTTGAGTCGGGCCCTTTTAGCCAATCGGTCGGGAAGGGCAACCAAACAATTTTTTAAAGATGGCCTTATATGATAAGATAAAAGATACAAAAATAAAGGGGGTACCTCTTCATATTTTATACTCAAATTGAATTTTAGTAATTTTTTTTTCGTATGGAACACTCTCTGGCCAATATCAAGTTGGTGACTCGACCTCGATTTTATAGAAATCAATATTCTTCGTCATTCTCGGCGAAAAAGTAAAAAAAAAAAATGTGATCGTAGATTAATTGTTCTAATTCACAGGTGCTTGTGGACAGGACCACCCCCCTCCCCCTCCCCGGGTCAAAGGATATTTTTATTTGTCTTTTTTTTCCCATAAATTAATCTTCTAGTACAAATTTACAATGTAAATCCAAATGAAAAATAAATGAAATAAAATACGTAGAATCAACGTTTTATTAAAAAAAAACAAAACAAAAAAAACAATAGCTGCAGTATTATATATAACGTTATGATTTTTTTTCACTGCTTCGTTAACTTGGATGGTTAAAATTTCTGCACTGGTCTGAAGCCAGACATAATTATGCAAAAAATACGGGCCTGAATTTAGACGAGGGTGCAGCCCCCCCCCCCCCCCTTTCCAAGGAGAAAGAATATAATATTATGTCATGCTAGTATTGCACATTTGTTGTTTGTTACATGAAGATGGTAGCAGACCTGTTTACTCTTACGATTTCGCCGTATTTTGTACGGATTTTGAGTCCAAAATACGTCTCACGTTTTGCTATAATGAAAATATGGAAATCGGAAAATCCTTTCATTTGGATTTTAGCAGCTAGTTTTCATTATGATGTCTCATTTTGATGCTTTTTAATCGCGAAAAAAGAGAAAATTTTCTAACACTTAAGTGATGTCGGGTTGCCAAAACGCGGTGGTTTAAAAATGACAGAAACCCCTCGAAAGAAAGTAAGGTATTATCTTTTTCTTTGTTATTAGACCATGTTTATTTTTGGTAATCAGAAATGTAGTTGTTCTCTAGTAATATATGTACATGTGCAATCGATGAAAAGTGAAATCTTACGGGGAAATGCCAAATCTCACTGACAAATCTAATAAAAAATACTGAGACACAACAATATGGGTAAACAGGTCTGTGGTAGGGTACACTTTCTTTAATAACGCATTAACTAAAATAGATTTTAAAAAATATATGATTATTATAGAAATAAGCACAAAATAACATGGGGGTAATGATATCCACCGATGTCCCCCTAAAATAATCCTCACTAGGGGTGCCTGAGGCTCCCTAGATCGAATATAGCTAAAATGGATGCTAAAACTTATTAGAAAGGAATTAGAAATTGGCTTAAGTATGCATGCAGTATGCAACCCCCCACTGCCACAACTTAAAACTTCGATACTTTGTATTTAAAAACTTTCATTTAATAATATAATAAAAAAAAAAAATGCTCAAAATCAATTATCTTGGTATGTAACTGCATCATTAGTCCCTTTTCTTTTATATAATTTATATCAGACAATTATAGAATTAGAATAAAAATGAAATGTATAGTCATCAACTATTTGAATCTGAGTGGTCATTTATGTGGGGAAATTAGTTGAATACTTTTTCAGACGTCCGCGCCCTAGAGAATTAATTGTGCAGTCTAACAACAAGGTCAAATGTCAAATTAAAGGTACTCAGAAGAAGGCCTTGTCATAAGAAATACTAATGTGAAATATTAAAGCCCTAGCACCAACTGTTCAAAAGTTATATCTAAGGTTAAAGTATTTCAAATGTAGGTCAAACTCCAAGGTCAATTTGTTGGTGTCCAAAGAAAGGCCTTGTTACAAGGAATATACCTGTGAAAAATGAAAGCCCTAGTCCTAACTGCTCAAAAGTTATGTCCAAGGATGAAGTTCTTTTTTTAAGTGGGTCAAACTCTAAGGTCAAGGTCAAAAGTTCAAAAATATTTATATCCGTGGAAAGACCTTCAAGTTATCAGAATGTATATACAGTGAAGTATGAAAGCCATAGCACCAAGTGTTCAAAAGTTATGGCCAAGTTTAAAGTTTGGTAATTTTTTGTAAAAGTGAGACAAAGTCCTTGTCACAAGGAATACACATGTGAAGTATGAAAGCCATAGCTCCAACCAATCGAAAGTTATGGGCAAGGTTAAAGCTTTTGCGGACAGACAGACAAACAAACAGACGGACGGACAAGGTAAAAACTATATACCCCGAATCTTCGATTTCGGGAGCATAAAAACTTTTATTCTACTATCTTATTCCCTGCTAACCTTGCAGTCTTTTCGGTACTTTGATTCTCTAGAACTTGACATCCCGAACCCGATTACTAAAAAATGCATCATGGCTGAGCACGGTCCTTCAACAACCAAAAGTAGAAAGCTGACAGACTCCCCTCTCTTGTTCAAAGGCGATTTTTTACTGAAGGATGAAATATCGGCAGTGTTGTTTAGTCTTTGTTCATGTAAACCCGTCCTGTTACCATACAAATTTGTCTCCTGCAATGCAGCTACTTCTAATGGAGGGACACCATTCCTTAAGGCTTTCTGTGATGTAGAACAACTGGAGAAAGGTTTCGTTTTGGGAGATATATTTAGAAGAGGGATAACAATACTTATTGACTTTCTGTATGGAAAAATACCAGAGGCAAAGCACGAAAGGATTTTACTTGAAATACTTGTAAGATTTTTGAAGTCAGGTATGTAGAAGTTGGTATATCCATGTACATGTATTACGATTCCTAGACATCATCGGTGACAGCTGATCATGCGTATGATAAGAAAATTTGAAAAGAGGAAATCATTCCCTCTAATGTCATTGTATTAGAAGCCTTTGACACGTCAGCATTTTCAGACCTAAATAAAAAAAAAATGTCCAAAAATAAAATGAAAAGTGAATGAATGTGTTATGCAATTTTTTTAAAAGAGCATGAAGCATTAACTAAAACAATATATATCCAGATTTCTCAGTCTTAGAATAAGTGTTTACTAACAAATAGACACCTTTATACAGAGATCAAGTCATGAAGATACATGTAGAATGTTCCAGAATCTTTTGTAAGACTGAATTTGGAATTGAACATGATAAAAACATGTCTACATGTAGCTTTTGAACTTCATCACTGAATTTACAGGTGAAATGGTGGACTTGGACTTTGAAAATAAGGCAGACATGACAGCTGTGTTGGCTAATCATCTATTTGGAAAGTTGGCAATATCATCATGGTACACAATCGATGAAGGAAACAAATTAAAGAGTGGACAGAAAGAAAATAAATGCAGTTGCAGTGATAAAGAATGTGTGTTGACTGGAGGCTATGGAGATACAAGTATAGGTAAAAATAGACTTATAAACATGATAACAGAAAAAAATATATATTGGATGGAGTTATCAAAAATTAAAATTAGAAAAGCTACAATTTTTTACATAAAAAAGGATTTTACCCTACGTAACTTTCTTAATTCGATCTTTCCTGATAAAAATATAAGAATGAAGGTATTCTTTACTCATTATTCTTTTTGGTAGATTAACATGGAGTATAAGGTACCTATTCATCATGTTCATCATGTTCTTCAGACTTTTAAATGGATGTTTATCTGTACTGTAGTTTTTTTTTCTCTGTGAGACATAAAATAATATCTTTCAGTTTTTGATAATTTCAAATTAGACATAGTTTGCAGGGGTGTGCAATTACCATCGCCCGACGCCCGGGCCTACCAATTCTAGAGATCGGGCTATCATAAATCTATACTGCGTTAGCCCGTCGGGCTAGTAAATCTAAAACGAAAGTATACGGCGACTGAATTGATGTACGAAATAACCTTGTTGTAAAATCATAATCTTTAATTCGTTTTAACCTATATGTTTTGTGTGTTGCTATCACCAGTCGTTTCAGTGACATAATAATTATAGTCGATAAAAATAGGGAGAAATACCTGACAATAACAAAGCGCAAACCATTATTTGTTTTATTTATTTCAACTTAAATGTTTTTTTTTAACCTTTTTGTTATACTTATACGTGTATTGTTTTCGGTAGTTAATGGGCTAGTGACTGGCAACCTCGGGCTAGTAACTTTGTTACTGCCACTAGCCCAATGGGCTAGTAACTAATTTTTGTAATTGCACACCCCTGGTTTGTTTATGAAACATTCCAGCCAGTGTCATGCAACACTGCACCTGGATAGATGTAGATGTATTCCAGGTAGTGAATATTCAGGTTTATTCAAATACTAAGAGTGATGTCAAAGAGAAAATGAGATATTGTTTAAGATGGGGATGTAAAACATTTAAAATGAAAAATCTTTTTCACAAGAGATGAGTTATTTGTACAATACAGAAATTGCATGTCTATATTCCTTTGAATGTCTTTATGACATCATAAGTTCCTACCACTGTGTGACAGCTGTAGGGCAGATGAAAAGGTTTTGCACTGAGAAAAAGGAAGGTTTATAATTGGTCAGAAAGATGTTTTTTTTTTTAAAGTTTATATTGAATTAAAAATATATATTATCTTAACCTACCAACCCTTTTTTGTATAGGCATGTAAATGTGTAATAGTTTGGGCTGTGGATATCGGCCTGGGTAGCTCAATAGGTAGAGCACCTGACTAGTGATGCAGGGGTCCCGGGTTCGATTTCCTGTGCAGCCATACATTTTCTCCTTTACTGTCACACTTGGTAAATTGGAATAAGAAAAAAAACATATTTCTTCCTATGCCTAATATGAAAACATATTCAGGCATTAGATAAAATGTTGCATCAGTCACTCAGCAGAGCTCAGTAAAAATTCTTATGGCCCTTTAATCATTTTAATATATAGCAAATACCTTGTTTCCACATTCTACCAATGCCTGAGAATGTATGCATGCAGCTGAACTTGAAGACCCATTAGGAGTATGAACAATCCATACACAATAAAAAAAATGTGTTTTGGACAGTGAGAAAACAGTACTATAAAGGTGTAAAAAGGTAAAATGTTGAGGTAATATCTATTTCAAATTCAACAGAGGGTGCCAGCCATTTACCTCTAGGAAAAAGGTCAAAGACAACAAATATATATTAAAATGAACAGGAATCACTGCCCTTGACTAAAATCAGGAAATACCTGTATGCAGTTGATTATTTAATTAATTTATCTTGGCCTTAAAACTTTTCAGCATGCTTGAATTGATTACAAATTGAGTACGTGGTAATTCTCTGAGAATTCAATTTATTTTAATATTTCAGATCTAAGGGCAGATAACTCTTACTGCACAAAAATTACATCATTTTGAATTAATTGAAGAGCACATCACTGTAATTGCACAAAGAAGCTCTTCCATGTGCAATGTATAGAGAGAGAGTCTTTCAAACTCTTGAAAAGAATCTTTGATTCAAAACTTTGCATTGCTTTTTGTTTACAAAAATTGTACTGTTTCATTTGTTTTTTTGTCTGCAGGCAATCCCAATGCCTGGCATGGCAGTGTAGACATCATAATAAGGAACGAAATTGCTATCCAGAATTTAGAGGAAGAGTCGGAAATTCCAAGTACAAAATCTCCCAAACATGTGAATCTGAGAAATGACTCGCAGCTGGTTGCAGGAACTGTTGTGTCATCTTTTCTACAGAAAAGGTTGCACCCTGACCTATCTAACTTCCTCATTCCAAGTATAGGTATTGCAGATGATACCATGGTGATAATGTTCTATGATTCAGAGCATGATGTTTTTCTGGAGAGTTCTCCTATATCAATCAAATCTATTTCCTGTGAATACAAGTTTTCTCTTCAGGCAGTGATTATTACCTGGTTAGCCATCAACTACAGGTTTTTGTGTACAGGCTTAACAGACAGTATGATTCCATACAAAGCAGGGTTCTTCCAAAAGGCAAAGGACAAGTTAAATATATATGAAAATGAACTTAGAATGCAGAATGTGGGTCCAGCATTTGTAAAAGACACAGTCTTACCAAGTAAATGGCACTATAGTGCCTTTTTAATCAAAAGTCGAAAGAGAATTAGTGAATGGCCAGGCCCACTCAAGCTTGAAAATTAGTGTCATAAAGATTGTTACTCTGTCATACTTGAACATTTAATTTAATAGTGTTATACATTATGTTTTAAACTCCTTACCAAAGTCCAATTACATTCCACTGTACAGCTAAAAGCATATGAGAACATTTTTAGAGCATTGAAAAATATTAATTTGAAACATGATTCTTATTCAAAATGTCACATAGTTAATTGTACATGTTACACTCATTTTCAAACGGAAGGCATAAAAAATAAACCAGTCATTAAAGTAGGAAAGAATTGTTTGTGTATCGGTCATCCCATACTTCTTTAATTTAGCAAAAGCACAATTGAGCATGCCTGGTCATAGGTGTCTGACATTCACAAATCCGTCAGTTGTTTTTTGGCATTTTTTTTTAAAAATCCATTTTCATCCTATTATACATGTACTCCACAACTTCTGAGCCAATTCTATCAAACCTTACCACAAAAAGATGCCTGGTTGATAATTATGCAAACACCCCAAAGCAATGCAGATTCTCCTGGTTAGGTTGGGCTAAAATGGGTATGGGAATTCTACGTAACATCTTTGGGAAATTAAACGAATTCTTTTACATGTGCGTACTTTTTCTATAGTTACAGAATTTGAGTTTCAATTCCTTTTATACGAGAGAAACAAGGCCGGTCGTAAGGCAAGAACGATAGCCAGAGTCTCGCCCCATCCTGTATCTCTCATGTAGAATAGGAACAAGTACTGCACAACTAACTTAAAAGCTTATGTCATAACCAATCAGGTGTCTCTTCAGAAAGTTGAACTTTCGATAAATTCTAATCAGTCGCGGACAAGATAGCGAGTGTGATGGGGCGTGCAGGGTGGCAACGCACTTTGAAAAAATTACGCACTTTGAAAAAATTTTTCAAAGTGCGTTAAAACTGGGACAAAATCAACGCACTTTGAAAAATTTTTTCAAAGTGCGTTAAATTTTGGACAAAATCAACGCACTTTGAAAATTTTTTGCAAAGTGCGTAAAGATTGTACATCAACATTTTTTACCATGGAGACACTTAACGCACTTTGAAAAAATACGTATAAAACAAAAATTCTGGACTTAGATTTTCATAATAGACAGCATTAATTTGTTCTATTTCTTCCGAAAAACTGATGAATTGATCTACCCTCATCGAGAACGAGGAGAAGACAGGTAGAAAGTCCCTCAGCCCAACTCTATCTTTCCTACACAAATATTTGTATTTACATAATTGGTATGACATTGATATTATTTCTCTGAATAAATTTGAGTGAACAAAAAATAGATGAAAAAATTTATATGAGCTTTTCTGAAAAAAAAAAAAATAATAATTACGCACCCTATTATATTAAAGAAGAAAGCCACATAACCTTTATTCAAAATGTATCCACACTGATTCCTCAGAAAAAATGCATTTACATGGTCATTAAAACATGCTTTTTGACATGTATATACCGGAGCGTTTTTATGATATCAAATTACAGATTTAGAAGTAATCTGACTGCATAACTTTTTTGAGAAAAAGTTATTAGTGAACGAGGTAAAAATTTCAGTCGCGTAATGTGGCTAAGGTTTATTTTCTTACTATCAAATAAATGAGTCAACCATTGTTTCATATATGTTCACAATAGATAGATGAATATGATAGAAAAATAGATGAGAGAGAGAGAGAGAGAATTTTCGTGGCATGGAAAAATCATAATTGCTCCCTTTTTCCTAAGAAAAATGCGATGCTTTAAGTCAGTTATCGACACCTACATCTACCAAACTTATTAAAGACTGGATAAAATTTAAAAAAGAAAAAAAAAAACTGTGTTATTAAACAATCATTCCTCCATTACTTCTAAGACCCATTTCCCTTTTATAACAGTTACGAGAACCTTTGGATACAAGACAACTCCTAAAAATCTTTAAAACGTCTACATCTCAGATCCTGACGTCATCATCGAAAAGTTGTCCAACCAGGTTCAAATAATTATTATAATTATTTATCATACCTAAAATTTGCAAGAATATATTGACCAAGCTGTGCACATTTTTTCAAAGTGCGTTAATATAGTCGATATTAACGCACTTTGAAAAGAAATATTTTTTTTTTCAAAGTGCGTTAACGTGGTCCCAAAATTAACGCACTTTGAAAAAAATTTTCAAAGTGCGTAATTTTTCAAAGTGCGTTGTAACAGTGCAGGTAATACATCGGCGAACCGTGTTTAACTTTTATAATGTTTTCCCAAAATATCGCTTTCTACCTCCATTTGGATTTTCCCTTCGTTTTCATAAATTATTTTACTTTGCTTTCAATTTAATCTAAAATATACAATAAATAATGCACACCATTTTGATGCATAAAACTGGTGTGGAAAATGTTGAAAGCAAAGTTTACATATTTTTAGAAAAATATATATAAAAGAGTATAAACCACAGGCACTTGTAAGTTGATGCTGTGATAATTTTTTAACCCACACTGACTGTATAATAACAAGCATTCTGAGAGTACTAGTCCCCTACCGGCAAGTGTAATCTGGTTCCCGTTAAAATTTGAAAATGCCATAATTCCGTCAAAAATCAATGAAGCGGAATGAAATGCAAAGATGATCTATAACTCATCAAAGTAAAGTCACATACCGAAAATCAGCTCAATATCTGCAAGCGTTTAGAAAAAAAAAATCGAAAAACCCTGAAAAATTGTAAAGGTCGTTATTCCGTAAAAAATCATTGAAGCGGATCGAAATGCAAACATGATCTTTAACTCATTAAGATACATGTACACTCACATACCAAAAATCAGCTCAATATCTGCAAGCGTTTAGAAAAAAAGTGAAAACCAAGTGGGACAGATTGACAGACAGAAAGAGGGACAGCTAGACGGACAGACAGCTAGACAGACGGACGGACAGACTCAGAGGATCCGGAAACCTATCATGGTCCCCTCCGGTTTCACCGATAGGGGACTAATAACAGAAGGTATCATGAAGTCATTTACATATTCAGAGAAAATGCACTGGCAAACTGTATTTTACTATTATCTTCTACGATAATTCATTTACAAAACCATGTTCAGCACGTTTGTCTTTATTTTCCGTAAACAGTGTCTAAACTCTGCTCGCCGACTGGAAAATTCGTCTCACACCAGAGAGGGACCGGAGAATTAAAGATCAGCAGGTTTAAAAATTCATTTCCAATGTTTGAATATTAATTGCAGTGAATAAATAAAAATTCTTAACGATTTATTTTCCATAAAAACATCACATTTTTCCGGTGTAATTTCAGGAACAGACTTTAAGCCAATCAAAATCCAGAAAATATTCCGTCAGAGATAAGTACATACCTTTTCATGGTGTGAGACGAATTTTCCAGTCGGCGAACAGAAGACAAGCATACGCCATACATGATTTTGTAGATAATTTATCAAAGATTATTTGAATAAACAGTTTAATTTGCTAGTGCATTTTCTGAAATTGGAAATGACTGGGATTCTCGGGAGGCGGTACTACATGTAATTCGGAGTTAGATACCTCGTGTTATTATTACATCATGTGCCCGTGGTATAATCATTAAGGTCAACTTTAAAAAAAGGTTTGCTTGTCCTCTCCAGGCCCAATATGAAAAAAAATTGGGTCTGTAGGTAGGTGGGAATTTTTTTCCTAGAAAATTTTAACATCAATACTGAATTTTCGAAATATATTTTCTTGAATGCATAAAAAATAATTGCTTCCTGGAGGTTAAAAGAAGTTTTGAGTCGGGCCATTTTTAGCCAGTCGGTCGGGAGAGGGCAACCAAACAATTCTTTAAAGATGGCCTAATATCCGATAATTTAACAACTGATTACTAGTATTTTTTTTACCTGGCTCGAAATAGAACAAGCAAAACGATTCTGACGTCTCTTTGATATATATCTTTCCACCATCGCTTTAAAATCAGCCGATCTGTATTGTAATTAGTGCACAGTTTTCCTTGTTAGCATGCTAAACACCCATGGTCACAAGAAGTTTTGTGTGTGACGCAATGACTAGAATGATGATATCGGTACGGTTTAGTGTTGAGTTGAATCATGGGTTTAAATTCCATAAAAAAATTTTGAATTTACCAAGGGAGTACAGCATATATCTCAATGACTTTTCTTTAATTTGTTCGTACAGCACTGGTACTTTGATTTGCTACCCGCCAATATTAATATTCTCCCTTACCCCTTAAGACTTATTCAACGGATGCATTCAAGAAACCAATTCTAACTTGGTTTTAAGATTATGGAGTCAATAATTCTGATGGAAATCTTTCTTTTAAAATTAGCTGACACAAAGGAATTTTAGACGGACAGACAGGCGCCACTACCCCATCGCTACCCCGTCCCCAAACAGAAAGCACAAAAAAGAAAAGTTCATGTAACCCCAGTTTTAATTATTTGTTATACAAAGTCTAAGAGTGTCTTGATCATATTTTGCTTACTGTAAGACCTAGGACCATCAAACCTCGTCAGCTGATGCATTTTCAGGGAAGGTGAATAGTAACCTAAAATTAGGCCACCACATGGTTTCATTCTGGTATTATAGGCAATGGCAGTACATAATCAAATCGTGTCTGGATAATTATTTTTGCACTCTGTGAGATAACCATCAATCATTGTCTATTGATGCATCTTTGAGGAAGGAATGAGAGTAGCAATCTGAAAGAAGATCAACATTACCAATTTTGAAAGGATAACTGCACTTAACGCTGGGTTTTGAGTCTTTTTACGTCGATTCTGTTGCTTTTATATCTTAGCCTTATTTCACTTTTGGATATTAACTAAAGAATTCTGTCAATTTGGCACCAAATTTAAATGTTAAAATGATTTTAGACTGTGATAGAATAAAATTATTCTATGTTTTTTGTCCTTATTGCTTTCCAAACATAGAGAATTCATACTTGCCTGCCCTTGATTAAACATTAGGTATATATGCATGAGACTTTGAGAGGTGGAGCTAAGATTGTAAGAATGGTTCTAAAAGTAGACTAGATAAATAACAATGAGGTGTATAAAAATACGAGATTACTCTTTCCCATCTCCCCCTTTATTCTTTATGGCACAAGTACATTATTTACAAAGGTTTCAAAACGAAATTAACAATATGAGCACGCCCATATAAGTAAAGATCATTTTGAATCGATATCTGACAATTCAGCGTGTTCGAGCACAGTGTCCTACATCAGGTCGAGACCACTAGATTTTCTGACGTCAGCATAAATTTGCATGTAAATTAGCTGTCTGTTTACTTTACCCACTGATGAATGAGTCGCAATGCTTTGTGGGTACTACAAGTACTCAGTTGTGTTGAAAATAAAGGGCAACTTGAATTGTCCCTTGGAAACTCATTTTCAATTCTTTTTTGAGATTTTTGAAAGAAATATTTAAAATGATGTATAATCTTTCATTCCCGTGCTCACATTTACACAATTTGCTTTAGGAAGCCTTATATCAACTTATAATACATCGGCCTAAACCATTGTTCAAAGAGACGTAGGTGCTAACGTGTCGATAAAGTATTGAGAGTTTTTTCCCCACGTGATATACGTGTTTGTAGTTTTAGACAGCAGTACAAGGTGCGCAATTATTATTTAACCCCTCAATATTATCAAAAAGGTTTTATGTACATGCAAACGTCAAAGCGTTTGTACGGTATTTGAAGCAACTATTAATCATCTAAAACAACTCCAATATTAAATGTGAGAATGGGACAGTGTCTTTGAAATATAATCTTTCAATCTTGGCCTTATAAAGTGATAAAGAAGCTTTACGGTTTTTCCGGTGACGAAGTAAATATTATGCAGTAAACCGACGAAAACCACGTGTCGCTATTGAATCGTAAACACGTAGTAGACTGTCATGCTTTGGGACTCATTCAATTGACTGGAGAACGGGTGTGACGAAGACATCGTCACGTGTTGAAAATTGCCTTCCATATAAGGTAGTGTACCCGACCTGTACATGTAGTTAGCACAAAACATGCTCCCTTACAAATCACGTGACGGAATTTAGTATTCACCTGAGGTAAGAAATCATGTGGTGAATTATAATAAACACAAACATGCGCCGACTATGTATAAAGTCAGGGAAAAAGTGGGCGTCCTCATTATCGTACGGAGATTCAAAAAATTATGATGACCCCAGCGTTTGCAATTGAAAACAGCTTAGTACTTCGTAGATACATGCTTTTATTTAATATAATTACGTAAAATTGTAGACTAGATGTTGACCACTCCTGCAATTAAAAGAAAAATGCTTGTTTCGAAAGTTTATTTTGTTGCACTTTTTGCATGGCCTTAAGTGTAGTCATCCTTTTATGGCTAAACATAGTCAAAGGGCGTCTGGATCATGTATTTCTTGCTCACTTTAAACATATAGCTATCATGTTGTAAATTTTGAATTTACTAGGGGGAGGTAAATGCAAAATTTACAACAATTATCATGTTGTAAATTTTGCATTTACCTCCCCCTAGTAAATTCAAAATTTACAACATGATATAGCTAGGGCAATTCACCTCATCATTTTTTTTTCGGGAAGGGGGGGGGGATGAGTTGTTGAAACTTAAAAGTATGTCACCATGGCTTCATTTTGAGTATTATGGCTATACATATGTAAATTATATATCCGAATCATTATATTCATTCTTTGAGTCTTAAGGATATAAAATTTTGCCAGTTCATGTATCTTGCGGAGGTGGGGGTGGGGACGCAATCAAAGTATGTTAACATGACCTCATTTTAGACTTGTTTGGCAATACACAGTCAAATTAATATTGTGTTTCGATCACTTTGCAGACTATGAGACCTTTGACAGTTAATGGGAGGGGGGGGGGGTCTTGCAACCCCAAAATAGTATTGGTCAGCATTGTCTCATTCTGAAATTTTATGACTATGAATAAATTGTATCTGGATAATGTTTTGCCATTCTGAGGCATAGGTTCACAAAATCTTGTCAGTTAATGCATTCTGGGGGTGGGGAGATTTGTAGCAACTTGAAAGTTAGTCAAAATAGCTTGTTATTTTAGGACAGAACATTATAAATTCGTGTGTCTGGATCATATTTTGCAAACTTTGAGGCTTATTACCATCAGTATTTGTCAGATTGTATATCTCAGATATGGGTTGGGGGCTGATACAATCCAAATATAGGTCAACATAGTTATTCTCATTTTGAAATGTATCGCTAGACATGTTCTTGTAGTTTCAGACTGGCATTTCTTGTTCCACAGCAGTGCACTTTATTGTTTTTCCTTAAAGTTTATTCTTTTGTTTTTCTTTTGATTGGGAATTGGTTTTCCTTGTGAGGAAATTTGACACAGTCTTGCTTTCGGTCCATTTTGAAGTATAACTTATTGACTGAAAGGAAAACAAGTTTTACACTTAAACAAATTTATTCAGAAGAAACAACAATTACATTAAGAAAAACACTAACTCAATAACTGATTGATTATAGAAAACACACTGAAAATCAAAAGAATACATATTTGAAGCAACCAAAAAACATAAACAAGATGTGTTCGTGAAACATTGATGCCCCCGTATGACAGCTTATGGCGAAGGTCAAAGTTTCTCAAATGCAATTCAAACTTCAAGGTCAAGAGATCAAAAATGTAACCCAAAGAAAGGACTTATGTCAATGGGTATACCTGGTAAATATGAAGCCCAAGCACCAACTATTCAAAAATTATGGTCAAGTTTAATGTTTTCTAAAAAAAAAAAAAAAGGTCAAACTCGAAGGTCAAGGTCAAAGGGTCAAAATTAATGGGAAGATCTTGTCATAAAAATACAGATGCAAAATATGAAAGACCTAGCACCAACTGTTTAAAAGTTCCAGGTCAAAAGGTCAATGTTGTTGGTATGCTAAGGAACGGCTTGTCACATGCAATGCACCTATGAAATGTGAAAGCTTTGGTACTAACTGTTCAAAGTTATGGCTATTGTTAAAGTTTTTTGGAAGTGGGCCAAACTCTAAGGTCAAGGTCAAAAAGTCAAAAATATATAAACCCATGGAAAGGTTTTGTCACGATAAATACACATGTAAAATATGAAAGCTTTATCACTTACTGTTCAAAAGTTATGGCCAAGGTTAAAGTTGGGTAAATTTTTGCAAAAGTGGGTTAAATTACAAGGTCATGAGGTCATACATGTACAGTGTATATGGTACCCAGAGGAAGGTCTTGTAACAAGGAATACACATGTGAAATATGAAAGCTATAGCTCCAACGAATCAAAAATTATGGGCAAGTTTAAAGTTTTTGCGGACAATGACATACAGATTAATAGACTACCAGACAGGCACACGGACGTACAGTGCAAAAACTATATATCTTCGATTACGAGGGCATAAAAATTTCTTTTACTTTGTTAAGTTGAATGATTAATTTTTTTTATTTCAGTTGAATTATGGATTGTTTGATTAATGTACAATTTCAACGCACACTTAAAAATTATATATATATACATACATACATACATACATACATATATATATATATATATATATATATATATATATATATATATATATATATATATATATATATATAAAAGACCCCCTAATACAGAACTTCGTGGAATTTACCTGTTGCATGACAATGCTGCCGCACACAAACATAAAGAAAATGTTTATAAAGAGTTACAACACCCGCCGTATTTGCCAGGCTTGAGTCTATGCGACTTTTTCCTAAACTAATGGAAATGATATATGGAAGTCGCTATGACTCCAAATCGGCCATTGGAAGTGTTGTCTATCAGACTGGTGCCTTTTAGGTATCCAGAAGAATGAGTTTGCTGAGGCCTTCCGGTTTTGGACAGTACGACTTGAGAAGTGTATTAAAGGAAACGTGGAATATTTTGAAGAATTAATGTAATAAATTAGTTGAATTGAAGGTTGTGTCATATTGTTTTGTATCCAGTTGCATTTTTTCATGATTGACCCTCGGTAGAGGTTGTCAGAAACAGATGTCCATTGTCTACCTCAATATCGGTGTAAATGACAATTACCTCGCAACTTGTCGTCCTTTTGGTACCAATATGACATTGAACCATGTCAAATGAATGCTGTAAACTAACTACTAGTATTATTCGCGATTTGTAAAGTTCAAACCCCGCTGCACAGTCTAATTATCGAGAATAAGGAAATATTCACCATAAATACACAACAGAATAAAAAGTTTGCTGCGAGAAATATTTGCAAAACCCGCGGATATTCGTGCATTCAGATAAAAATTGGTTTAAGTCATAAGTTTTGAATCACGCGTTTAACTCCTTTAAAACTATTGAAAGCAGGTACAAGTACTTAATGCTTCTTATTAATAATAAGGACAATATGCACATAAATTTCGATTATACACAAATATACAAGGAAACAACTGATGAAACACTTTTAAATAGTCACTCAATAAATTAAGAAATTGAATTTACATTTTTTCTTCTTCGTGCATTAAAGAGCTAGTAAGTTCACAAACTGTTTTTGTTTAACAATAGAGACTTCATTTACATGCATGTTCTACGCTTTTTTGTGTGATCATTATACTTTTCTAAGATAAGTAAACATAATTTTGGATATGAGACTATATATATTATATTATTGAAACTTGAAATCGTAGATTTTTTATCACAACATAAAAAAAATCATGAAAGGATTTTGCTTTACTTTATATAATTCTGAGAATATCTTTGAAATATCCCCATGCCAAAGAAATTTTCTTTATTACTTCAACAAGCGAAACACCAGAGTCCCCCCCCCCACCCCCACCCCCCCATGTGTCCCATGTGTAGAGAAGATATCAACAAACTTTGGAGATGTTCACTCGAAAATCGGGATAAAGTTTTGCTTTACGAGTACGTGGCAATTTTTTATGTGGATCTTGTGTGAATCCTCCAGTATTTTGTTAGGTTTTCCGTGTTAATAGAATGTAAATCACTACCATGATGAATGGGACAAACGACTTCTTCTCCAAGTACGATATCCTTCTCTTGAATGAAATGTCCTTCAATGTCCATTCCTATTGATTGCTCATTTTCATTTTTACAGCTAAAACCCTTCTCAAAGTCAATTTTTCTATCAAATGTAGCTGAAATTTTGTTTAACATTTCCTCTACAGAACTTTGGATATCTTTAGCTTTTTGCACATCGAGTGATTGACTGGATATTGGTTGGTACACCTGAAGCTGGATGGACGTTACTGTAACTGCAATTGCAATGTGATGATCATCAAAAGAAAACAAAGCAGCATTTCTGTAAAGACAAGGTATATTTTGGTTTTTGCGCACAATCCATCCGTCTTTGTGCATGCAGGCGACAACAAGACGAAAGAATAAAAAGTAAGGCAGAAAATTAAACCGAAAGGCTAAAATGGAAGATTTTTTCTTTATCTCAAAAAGTTTCCTTTGAGTTTTTTCGTCAAATTCTTTACGGTTCATGCACGGAATATAATGAGATTCTGAGCCAGTGGCTATTAATCCAAGTCTGTCCATAAAATTCAAAAGACTTTTTCGATGATTTTGGAAATATTGCATGGTTTGAAGATTGCCTTCGCTTGTCTGACGCAGAGATTGATCTTTTATATTGAAAAAAATCTCGTCATTCGGAAAATCAGAGTCATCCAAGCTATCATGCTTTGTCAGTTGTTTGTCTAATTCCTCATCTTTATGCTTCCAAATTGCTTCAAGAACACCATCCTTTAGATATCCAGTATGATAGTACTCCTCCCAGTCACCCCTTGTAACAGGTATTCCATCCAAGTGAAGTTTGTCTGTAATGATGTTTTTAAAGGCATCTACAAACCATTGTATGTCAATAATGACAGAATCCTCTAAACCCTCTTCGTTAAAATACAGTACTTTTCCTACGTCGTGAAAGTACCGTAGCATAGTCTTCTTAGATATCTGCTTTTGAGTGTAATCTTGTAAACTTTCTTTCTGAGTCTTCATTTCAATATCCTGCTCTTTCAAGATTTTCCATTTATTTTTTCTTTGATTGAATTTTATATCTAATAAGGCCCACTCTCTCGGTATCTTCAGCTCCCACTTTTCCTCTGAGATAATGTCTATGATATGCTCTTTTAAATTATCCAAAGGTTCTAGATAAAACTGTTTTAAAACGCTGCAATTGTTCCTTTTGAGAGAAAACTTAATGAAAAAGCAACTCTTCCTCCGTACGTATTGTAGTAAATGCGAATCTCTAGGAATCTTGCTTTGCAGAGCTTCTAGAAATTTAGCTTCGTTCTGAAAATACATATCAATTTATGATTAATTACCTATTCACCAAATACTAGTTAAAAAGGTGTGTAAATGAATAATTCAGTAATGGTCTTGAAAGGCTAGGTTAATTATAGTTCTGCTGCAAGTTTTGAGAGAGAGAGAGATAGAGAGAGAGAGAGAGGATAATTGATACCTTGTAATGTTTGTTATCCCAGTGTGTTGCTACGATGATAATTCTTCGTTGAAGTGTTTTTCCAGTTTCTGCTCCGCAGTATGTGTGTATGGACTTCAGCCAAAATACGAAGTAGTCTAAAACATAGTAAAATATATAGACTATGAAGTTATGGAATACAGTCAAAGTCTGTTTATTTACCTTTTTCTTGCAGAATCAACGAAATGTTAAGACAGACATTATGCATGTAAATATACAGTAAAACACGTCTATATTGAACACGCTTACAATTATTGACGCTTACAGTGAGTTGATTTTCATTCCCTGGGCTTTAAAATATCATGCACACTTAAAATATAATGTACACTTAACGGATATGAAGGATTACGTTTAATATGAAGCAAAATCGTATGTCCCTGGTATAAAATTCATACAGATACAGTTGTTCATTTGGTAAATCATAAAAACAAAACTTAAACTTATGATTATGTAAGTCAACTTGATTTTTAAAAGTTTTAAAAGATGTTGGTTTGCAAACAACATGTAAAACTTTTGGAACATCAATTAAACATATGATTTAACTGGATTCGGGATTCAAAGTTATTTTTCCTAAAAGTTTTAGAGAAAAGGGATATGATCCACAAAACATTTTACTACCCCTTATGAGTTTTAAACAAAAGGAGAGCACAGCCGTTGAACAGTGGTAAGCTACCACACAACTACTGATAAAAACGTAGCATATTGATTGATTGATTGTATATTGTTTTTGTCCCATTCAAGAATTTTTAACTTTCATAGAGACGTCACCATATACCAGTGAAGGGCTTTAAATTAAACCTTTACTCGGCAAATCGAAGTTTCCATGGAGTGTAGTTAGAGTACTATATAGTACGCAAAGAGAAACGAAGCGTGAGAGGCAACTTTTTCTCTCCTATTCCCAAAACATATCTCCCTCCCTCTCTCCTTCCTTTTTCTATACTTTTCTTTCTTTTTCTACTGCCTATCTTTCTTTATGGCAATGAAAAGGAAGGAATTTCACAAAGAAATAAATTACATGATTGATTGACTGTATGCTGTTTTACATCCCATTCGAACCTACAGTGACACGGGGCCTCGGTTTGTAAGGTATCATCCAAAGGACCCGGAACTTTCACTTCAAAGTGCCGAGCGCTTGGCGAAGGAATAGTTTCTACGTATACCTATTTTATCGACTTAGGTCAGTCGCGGCCGAGATTCGAACTCACGACCTTCCGATCACGGAGCGCTCTACCGTCTGAGCTACCGTTACGGTCAAATTAAATGAAAAACAAATTCAAAGAATTGTTATCCCCCACTTTTGGTGTTTTAGTGATTAGGATACTACTATTTGTGGCATGTTGTAACTCACTTGTATCTCTTCCTTCCTTGTCTTTCATCATACAAAATACACAATACTATCTAAAAGATCTTAACACTGAGTTATGCATTAGAGTAAAAAAGTCTGTAACCCCAATCTCTTCTAAAGCAAAAGTTCCGACCAAAGTTGGAAAAAATAAGTAGGGCAAACTTCTAGGTATATGACAAAGGCATGAAGTCAAACATGACTCTTTCTGAAAGGTGTTGTCACAGGTTATGTATAAGTAAAATTTAAAAGCTTATTTTCTCTCCTTCAAATGTTATAACCAATGTCAAAAATTTTGAAACCTACTGTAGATTTAACTTATAAGTTAAGGTCACATGATAAGACCGCGGAACATTAACTGGCAAAATTGGAAATATGCAGCTTACGTCATTTCCATCTGTTACAGTCAAAACATTTCATGATAGACAATGAAATGGGTGGGTACAATTTGACACGGACGTCCGCGAAAACATTGGATTGACATTGCAATTCGAAATTCATTTTCAATCCACCTCAGCTATGCTAGAACGCACAGTGTTACTGACTGACCCAGAAGACAAATTATTTGAAATATATATAAATCAGAATTTTTCTATCCCATGTTTTTAAAGAAATATAAAGGGACAAATATTTGATTCCTGTTATATGAGTTTGTGTGTGCTGGGGGTTGGGGGGGGGGGGGGGTTGAACGATGTTGGAAATGAATAAGAAAGTTTTCTTTTAGTTTGGACAACCCCTCCCTTTTTTGTTTGTCAAACATTTTTCAAAGCTAAAAAACTAAAAAATTAAAAGCTCTTGTCATCCTAGAAATTAATATAATCTTCATGTGAAAGCATGATCTGACTCGACAATTTTTGACAGCCCCCCTTCTAGAATCAAATGGCCGTCCCCTGAAAAAATAATCTCTGTTTTCTATGACTTTGACGTGTACTTAAAATTAGGCTAAAAACTCATATTAATATGAATTTCAAATAACATGTATTTGGGAATTGAATTTATTTGTCTTTTGGATCATACATTCACACTTAAGGTTTTCACACAGCTCAGGTGGATTGAAATTGAATTTCAATTTTTTTTTCAGTGAAGAAGAAATTAAATATATTCTTTTATGTGATGCATAACCATAACTAATCTGATTCGACAAAATTTGCCAGCCCCCCCCCCCCCCCTACTCTAGAATCAAATAGCCGTCCCCTAAAAGAATATAGTTACTATAACTTCTGTGTGTCCTCAAATATGGGATAGAAAATTGTTATACATTAATTTCAAACTATACGTATTTGGGAACTGATTTTATTTGTCGTTTGGATCATACATTATAACTTTGCGAAAAATAATTCAGGTGGATTGAAAATGAATTTCGAACTGCAATTTCAATCCAATGTTTTCGCAGACGTCCGTGTCAAATTGTACCCGCCCATTTCATTGTCTATCATCAAGTGTTTGACTGCCACAGATGGAAATGACGTAAGCTGCATATTTCCAATTTTGCCAATTAATGTTCCGCGGTCTTAAAAACCAAAGTAAATTTGGAAATATGAAAGTCCTATATTCTCTCATTCAAAACAAATTATCAATATTATAATTATTGAAATGTAGATCAACCTTCAAAGTCGAGTTTAAATGTTTAAAAATGAAAGTACACTTTTTAAGGTCTTGTCATAGGTAATGCAAATGTCAAAATTGGATGTCCTATCTTCTATTCTTCTTCTATTATAATCAATGTGCATGTAAAATGTTTTAAAAGTAGGTCAAGTTCAAGGTCTGTGGGAAAAAAAGTACATTTGAAAAGAATTTGTCACAGGTAATGCACATCTCAATTATGAACACCTTATCTCTCTGATTCAAAAATAACCATCAATGTTAAAATTTTTGAAAAGTGGGTCAAACTTCAATGTAAAGGTCATTTTGTAAAAAATATAAACTTATAAAAAGAACTAGTTAATGAAAATGTTAAATATGATTCCCCCATTTGTTTTTATTCAAAATGATCACCAGTGTTAGAATTTTTGTAAAGTAGGTCAAAGATGAAGATCAAGGTCACAGGTAAAAAATCATATTACTTTTGGAAAGATCTTGTCACAGGTAATGTACATGTCTGATACAATCCTAATACATGTCTAATCCCCTTTCTCACATTTTTTACCTTCATATGCAAGCATACCGATATAGTGAATTCATATATGTACACATAATGGCATGATAGCAATCACACTTTAAAGATTATCAAGCGCAGTCCATGTAGGTTGGAGATTGTTTTTCCCTGAAAATGTTTATTAGATGCAAATGAATCTAATTAAATAAGATAATGTTTTTGGCTTACCACCGTACGTCCATTCAGAGAACAAAGTTCCTTTTTGATCGCACACGTTCTCATTTACTTTATCATCAAGGTTCTTTGAGGCGTCTACCACAACAATATAGAAGGCTCTCTTTGTTAGATAGATCTGATGACAGGCATAATACGCACACTGTCCTCCAAAGTCAAAGAAACTCAAGGTTTTTCTGTGATGATCAACTACATTTTCAGACGATGATGTAGCTGTTTTCATATTTGAAAAAAATAGTCGCACCATCAAAACCTACCACTTGCCACCATAAGAGTAAATGAAAAAAAACCCTTTTCTTTTTAGCCCTTTTGAAGCAGCCGTTAATCAAGTTCATTAGTCATGCGTATACCAAGTTTATTTGTCATGTATGAATATGTGTGCGATATTTAAAATATATGGTAATGTAAACAATTATATACACTGAAATGAATGATATATTTAATTTCTTAAATAATAACTGAAATCATACCTTTAAGAGATTTAGTATCATTTTCCTCACAAATCTCAAGTATCTTTTCGTGGACCTCCAATCCTTCTGTTGGGGTGATATTCAGAATCTCCCTCTTACTACACCCTATCAGACGTTTCAGGAGCGTGGTTTTTCCAGCTTGTGCACAACCTACTATCATCCCCCTGGCATGGTGGACCGTATGTATTCCTCTCATAGCGCACTCAACGTACTGTTCCCGGGCTTCTTGGTCCCATTGTAGTATTTCTTCTGGGACTTTCACTGTTAAAATATTTTCTTTTTTCAATACTTTAATATACCAGTCCTGTGAGCACAGTTCACCAATTAAAATGTGAAGATAACTAAAAGTGATCAATCTCATAAACCTAGTAAACAAGAGGCCCATGGGCCATTATCTCCTTTGGAAGGGGGCTTGGCCCTTCATTTTAACAATTTAAACTCCCCTTTACCCAAGGATGCTTTGTACCAAGTTTGGTTAAAATTGGCCCAGTGGTTCTTGAGAAGAAGTTGAAAATGTGAAAAGTTTACAGACGAACGGACAGACGGACAAACGACGGACAATGGATGATCAGAAAAGCTCACTTGAGCTTTCAGCTCAGGTGAGCTCACAAAATCATGAACAGGGCAAAAACTCAGACTAATTGAAACACCAAAGGTGGGATCTGGTGCCGAGCATGTTTAACCATTCCCTGTTGACAGGTCAAAACCTATGTATTGATCATGTAGATGGAGTACTCAAGTTCAAGGTCTGTGGGGAAAAAATCCATCGTCAAATTAAGCATTAAAACAATGACTTAACACAGGGTGTGATACATGTAAGACAAAAAACGATCCAACGATAGGTTGAATATACAAACAAGGTCATTGATGAAAGTTGTAATTGTAATGTCTATGCCAAAACAAGCGGCTCATGGGCCACATCGCTCACATGAGCACTCTGTCTACAGAAAAATAGAAATCAGTACTGCGTTGAAAAGTTTGAATATATAAGTGGTCCAAATCTACTCCAGAAAAGGGGGAGGTGATTTGTACAAACTTGAATCTACATTAACTGAGGATGCTTCCATATTTCCTTGGCTAATGATGTCTTTATTTTTGTTTAAAGATTTTCCTCTATACATTTTATGTAAAAAATATTGATTTTCTATTGTTGCCGCGCCATACCCCCGGGGAACATTATGTGAACATTACCTGAACAGACTATGATCTGTACTATGTGAGGATGCTTCTGGATTAACTGATCATGGCTTTTCTGTTCTTGAGAAGAAGATGTTAAACGATTTTTTCTTTATATTCTTAGGAAATATTCCAAAGTAAGAATTTTACCGCCCTTGTAGCTATGCCTTAACCCCGGGGTTATGATTTGAACAAAATTGAATCTACACTATCTGAGAAAAATCCTGATAATATGCAATCCTGATAATATGACGAGTCACGGCTTTGCTATTCTTGAGAAAAAAATTAAAATATATTTCCTATATAGTCCTTTGTAAAAGCTTTTCCTCTTCTATAGTCCCTCCCTACCCGACGGGTTTATGATTTGAACATATGTGAATTAAAACTTACGTTATATATTGAAGCTTTCACATAAGCTTTCTCTTTATTGGCAAAGTGGTTCTTTAGAAGAAGGTTTTTATAAGATGCCTTCAAATTTTCACAAATATTATCTCCCCTTGAAAAACTTTTCTTCTTATCAAAAAACTTAATTCCCCCTCACTTAAGGATGCTTTGTGACAAGGTTGATTGAAATCTGAGAGTCGAAAAAGTGAAAAGTTTAAAACAACACACGACATATGATAGACATACAGACAGACGCCAGTCACAGAAAAAATTAGAGCTTTCGGCTCAAGTGTACTAAATACTTATACTGACCATAGAATTTACAAAATGCTGACTTTAAAGAGATTTTTGAAATTCTTGTAACATAACGTTATTCGTCAGTATCTTGTCTATGTTTAAAGATTTTCAATTGATGCAAAATACAATTTACTAAAACATTTCATAAAGCACAATGTGTATTTAAAAAAATTAAAAAAAAAAAAAACAAAACAAAAAAAAAAAACAAAACAAAAAAAAAAAAAACATTAAAGCGAGTGAATATAAAGGGCAAATTTCATAATTTTGTATTTAGGCGCGGAAATACGGGGGCTGTTAGAAAAGTTCGCAGACAAACTGCATGTATTGTGAGCGCGCTGTTCACGTGAATCCAATTAGGTTCTAGAAATAAAAATACAAGTTTTTTTTCCCAATAAATATACAAGTATTGGATGTATCTTTTTTTATTATTTGAAAAAAATATATGCAGCTCTATCATTAAGATAAAAATGCCGCATGTTGCAATTACATTTTTGCACATTTTAATTATGTTTAATTTTGTGAAATTATGAATTGCATTGTTCTGGCGAATAAAGATTTTCGATACTTTAACAGCCGCCACAGTATTTGTTATATGTCATTTATTTTTTGCGGAAGTGGTAATGATTGTTCCATATAGCTAATAATAGTTGATCAATGCATAAACAAAGATCAGCAAGGTCTGGTGATTTGGGACCAAAGTATTTAATGATAGCAAAATTTTAAGCGGGGGATGCCTACAATTTATGATGCTCAGCTCCTGCGATATCCTGTCTGAAATTTCCTACCATGGATTTTATACTGTTTCCAAACTCAACATTAAACTGCGTATACAATAGTACTAGGATATAACTGAGAAAGAAACACACCTTGCTAAAGTAATACATTTCTAAAAGAGAAAAAGACAAGACAAGTTTGTAAAACTGAAAGATATTTAAAATTATGAAAAAGATTAACAGGTTTAGAATCAAATTGTCAAGTCACCTAATGTCACGAAACTTTCAGCAGCTGCTCATTGAATCCTATGACAGAAAAAAAACTACGAAATCTTTAGTAAATATACCTCAATTTTGCATCCTTTTTTGTATCTTTTTTCAGTAAAAGATTACAATTAAACAAAACATATGTAATTCTCCAAAGTTCACGTTAATCTTCCCGTAAATCACTGTGTCTGCGAACTTTTCTGACAAACTTCCAGATATTATTTGGAGTCTAGTATATTTGTTTCCCTTTATATTTCGGCGTCAGAAGAGGAGTATCAATTCCCTGATGGCATAATGAATTTTTAAAGTTATACACTGTATATAAGACATAATTTTAAGTTGGCAAATTTAGTCGATCAAACTTTAATTGAATTTGTAGAATAACGAAATAGCCTGATTTTAAATCGTGAAATATAGCAAAATTTGACAGATGTAGAAAGGTTATTGTACATATGGTATACCTGAAAAGACATTGTTCACAATATTACAAAAATATACTCACAACATTCACAGATCTTGCTATGAATACTTTGATCCGAAACAGTGCAGTGTTTGATGATGTCAAGCTGTAGTTTATCAATGAAAAATTCGTACAGATCCCTCGGCCTATTTGGTATATAAATGCACCTTTCTTTTTCCTTTCTCTTATAATTCCACGACCTACAATATTCCGATAGTACACGACTAGACCCCGTAGTCAGGAAAAACTCCAGATCACTGTCCTCCACCAGACACTCTGTCGCAAATGCGTACATTACGTCATGTCGGATGTCTTCCGTTAGAAATGCCACGGTATTGCTTTGTGTTTTTACGCAATCATTAGGAAGAAGTATTGAATCAAAATCTTTAGATATAGCTTCTTTTGCACAGTATCGTTCTCTGATCTTCTTCAGTAGACTTTTATGAGAAATATCAGAGACCTTAAAAGTGTAGTCGTCCAGTAACAGTATGCAATAGAGCAGACTTTTGATATCCCACGAGTAACCGTGGTACTGACCTAAAAGAATGAGAAGCGATTTAAATAAATAAAAATAACCCCTAAGTCAATATGATTTCAATTTCTTAATGAACACGTGCTATTTTTTCTGATAGATAATATTTCATTGTTCAGCCTCAAAACTGCATATTAGTAACAGTTGTTATAAAAATGCACGTTACAATGAGATTGACAACAAATGATAGCTATTACATTTTATAACTGGCATCACACATGCATGCAAGCATCAACAGGTTAGCTAAATTTAGATGAGCTTATTCAGCATGGTCATAAAGCAATATTTAGCCAAACACAGCAAAAGCAGTTTCTTATAATACAACCGTCTTATCTTTTAGCATGAAACCCTACTTGAAATATTTTATTGTTCTACGCTTTTTATATAAGTATTTTTATCATTATGTGACCCTGAATAATCGCGTGTATGGCACACCAAATTCACAAAAATCAGAAAAAACATAGTTTTACGGTTGATAAGGCCAAACAAAAAAATATGTGTGGTTCCGGTTACATCTCCAAAAAAATTAGGGTAGGTAGGTAGGGATTTTTTTTTTTTAACAAAATGATTTTCTTAAAATTGTACATAACACTTATTACTGCTTTGCAAGTGGCATTTAGATGTGGTATGATAATATACTAGTCAATATTGGTAGGGGACGCCTACATGCTAGCTTGCTTTGGATTTAACACTATTAAACACTTGCACTATGTTTTGCAAGGAGGCCGTCATTACTGAAACTAAAACTTGATTAAACCAGAGCCATTGATGGAAATCGGGGAAAAATATGAAAATTGTCCAAAAAAAAAGTTTAGGGTCGGGGGTATAAAATAGGGACGGTCGGGTAACCGGAACCACACATGTTTTTTTATTTGGCCTAAACTAGGTTTATCGATAGTAAACTATTATAGTCTGCAAACCGTAGACTATAATTAACAATTTGTTAACGTTGACTTTTATCTGTAAAACTATATTTAACGAGCTTAAACTGGTCTGGAGAGACCCTCAAATTCACGTCTTTTACAAAAGGAAAAATGTCAAACAACTCAACACGTTGCCAACCACGAAATAAAATTCTCACAATCAAGCATTCTTTCACAAATCTTGAAACTATATTTATCAGAAAAAAATATGTCTTACATTCCTTAATTTTAGATTTCGGTCGTAAGCTATAGTTAACTGTCATGTTTAATCACAAACTATATTTAACAGATGTAAACTATAATTAACGATTATTAACAATTGTATTGAAACATTAATTATGACTTACATTTGTAAATCATAGTTTATCGTCATAAACTATTATGCAGACTCGTTAACCATAGTTAAGAGTTATTAAATGTAGTATATGATTTCAAGTTCTATTTATAAACAAGAGGCCCATGGGCCACAACGCTCACCTGAGTTACTTTGGCTCTGCTGTTCTTCACAAGACCTCCCCTTTGTAACATTTATTGCGGCCCTGCCCTACCCCCAGGGCCATGAATTGAAGAATTTAGAATCTACACTACCCAAGGATGCTTCCACATAAGTTTCAGCTTTTCTGGCCCAGTGGTTCTTGAGATGAAGATTTTCAAAGATTTTGCCTATATATTTCAATGTAAAACTTTGATTCCCTATTGTGGCCCCGCTCTACCCCCGGGGGCTTTGATTTTAACAATTTAGAATCTACTCTACCCAAGAATGCTTCCACATAAGTTTCAGCTTTTCTGGCATAGTGGTTCTTGAGAAGAAGATTTTCAAAGACTTTGCCTATATATTTCTATGTAAAACTTTGATTCCCTATTGTGCCCCCCCAAACCCCCGGGGGCTATGATTTGAACAATTTAGAATCTACACTACCCAAGGATGCTTCCACATAAGTTTCAGCTTTTCTGGCATAGTGGTTCTTGAGAAGAAGATTTTCAAAGATTTTGCAATTGCCTATATATTTCAATGTAAAAATTTGATTCCCTATTGTGGCCCCGCCATACCACCGGGGGCTACGATTTGAACAATTTAGAATCTACACTACCCAAGGATGCTTTCACATAAGTTTCAGCTTTTCTGGCATAGTGGTTCTTGAGAAGAAGATTTTCAAAGATTTTGCCTATATATTTCAATGTAAAACTTTGATTCCCTATTGTGGCCCCGCCCTACCCCCGGGGGCCATAATTTGAACACTTTAGAATCTACACTACCCAAGGATGCCTCCACATAAGTTTCAGCTTTTCTGGCCCTGTGGTTCTTGAGAAGAAGATTTTTTAATGACCCCACCCAATTTTTGTCTTTTCTTGATTATCTCCCTTTGTAAGTGGGGTTGGCCCTTCATTTTAACAACTTAAACTCCCCTTCACCCAAGAATGCTCTGTACCAACTTTGGTTAAAATTGGCTCAGTGGTTCTTGAGAAGAAGTTGAAAATGTGAAAAGTTTACAGACGGACGGACGGACAGACAGACAGAGGCCGGACAACAGGTGATCAGAAAAGCTCACTTGAGCTTTCAGCTCAGGTGAGCTAAAAAGGGAAAACAAATCCTTCATCATGCAAACGGAATTATTTTCTCTTTCTGATAATCTTAAATATCTCCAGCTTTCAGCCACTTGTTTGATACATGTACCAGCGATACTAAGTCATCTTTCTCTGCTATAAGATAAAAAAGTTGGAAGATGGCACGCAGGGATATACTGTAGATCACTAAATTTTCGCGACACCTTATTTTAGCGAAATAGTCATTTACCCTCAAATAGCGAGTCAAAATTTTCAAAAATTGTGGTTATTGCTCTATATAATCTTAAGGAATACAAATATACGCGTGAATTAAATTTTGGCGGGTACACTGTCTCTGGTAAGTACGTGAGAATAAAGTTCTCGAGAACAAAAAGTGATTTACAGTATTTCCCTGATTTATAGAAAAACTTTTAATTCAAACCGTTTGTATTTTCTTTACTTGTGTTTTGTTCAGAGCTGTCGACTCATTCAATTGTTAAGGGTCATTGTACACATGTCTTTTTATAAGTGTGGTGGCTAAAAAACAAGTAATGACGAGTTACATGTACTTCTGACATGAAATTCATTTTTCAGGATTTGAAAAGAATTTCTTCACAGATATTTCAATTATGAGTGATAAATTTAAATATCAATAATAAAGTCAAAAGTCAATGCTTAATCGTCTATTTGTTGGTAAATGAAAAGCAGATACACCTTACAAATATAGGTATCTGAAATGTGTAGATTTGATAAAAGAAAACCATATAAAGCTTATATCAATTATCAAAGGAATGCACCAACATTTCATGAATGTAAAACCACACAATTGTGAATTTTCCTGAGCAAAGGATGCATAGCTGGTGTATTTACTTTCAGGATGTTTAATCCGTCTTGTTAGAGAAGATAGTTTATATAAGAACCACATGCTCTGATTAAATTACAAAAGTAAACACCGTTAATTCTAACACCGTATTTATCTTACATGTACTTACTTGGCACTCTGTAAGCCTTGTTATTAATGATGTAAATATCCATGTGTGAGTGATGCCCTACACAGGATCGCACAATGGCAGGTCTCCAGAATCTATGAAACCATTTGACTTGTGCATGGTTTTGTGGTTGTCCTCTGATATATACGAGCTCTCCTTTTTTCTCTAGATTTGTTATAAACGTTGTCCTTTGAACCTCATCTTCATTTAATATATATTCAGGAATATTCACTATTTTTTTAAAAAAAGATTTTTTCTTAAAATAAAGAAATGTTTAGTTAACTAACGTAATATTCAATTTTCAATTAGATCAAATTCAGATATTCTTATATTTTCTTTAGCGCAGTGTCGTTATTGCATGTTATAGAATAGCATCTCCTTTTCAAATAAATTTCAGAAAATACGAAGTCCATGCTCGAAATACCTTTGCGTACATTATTGCAAATACTAGAACTTCTCAAATACTTAACAATAAAATTAACTTTTTAAAAGTATTTTGAAGTTTCATTTCTAAATGTGATGTATAACAAAGTGTATTTTGATATACAGTGTATTCCTCATTATAATTGATTTTCTTATCGATCTCTACAGAATATTAATTTCTAAAAACATACGTATCTGGAACACGTAAGGAAAGATGTTCTTATCCACCATAGTGACATGTGTCAGTATGTTCATTTGTAGGCGGTGAATTATGATTTTATCACCTTGTGAGCTCCCACTAAGTAGGCATTTTTCTTGAGGCTTCCTACGGTATCCACGCGTTCTTAAGTATTTCAGTGTTGTGGTGAAACTAAATAAGAACAATCTGTAGACACTATACTTTACGGAACGCTGTAATATACAGTATATAGTTTCATCTGCGGCATCCTCAGTTATATGTACTTCATTTTGATCCTCAGAAAGGAATTCAGTTGTCTTTAGTTTGTCTAGAATTTGGTATGCCTCCTCACTCGATAAAAAATCTTTCTCAAGGCATTTATGTCGGGTTAATTTAAGACTGTCACTGGATTCAGTCTCCATATCGCAGTACTTTCGTATGTGATTGAATATACCAAGCCTGTCTTTGTCATTGAAGTCAGGACAACCGGTGTCGGAGCACAGAAAGGAGAATAGCATGGAGACCTCTTCACCAGACATCGCTTGGAACGCATCTAAAATTTTTTTGTATTAAGAACATTTCTTTCAGATACATATAGAAGACATTCCAAAGCTTTCAAATTATAGCTTTCTTAAGGGTACTTCTTTTATATGAGTCAAAACCAGGTAATTTTTATCACATTATACGTGAACTTGTTTTTTGCATTATACAGATGTTGAAAAAAGCCCACACAGGTCCAAGTGTGAAACGTTATAAGAATTGTAATAAAAGGTTTGAATTGAAATCCTTTAAGAAATAAAGCATCATTTTTTAAACTTTTATTGGGATATAAATACGGGTTGGTCATGTGATCAAATCCCACAAAGCCCGAAGGTAGATTTAATCACATGACAACTCGTATTTTCATCCCGATAAAGCTTACAAAAGATACCTTATTACTTACAGAG